CCGCATCTCACTTCCCGCCGGCTTCCCCCTTTTGCTTGGAGGTTGATCACCCCTCTAAGCTTGCCCCCCCCCCCCACACACCCTTGTCCTTTCTTACCTCCTCCACTGTGCCTTGCCCCCTTCTGCTCCGTGCTTCCCTTAATCCACACCTCCTTTCCTCTTTGGATTCAATCTCCCCCAGCCCCTTTCTCCTCCTCCGTGCAGGTCAGAAGAGGTTCTGTCAGACATTTCCCGTGCACGCCGCTGATCCAGTCCGCACCTTCAGAAGGGGATTTCTTCTTCAGTCACGTGCAGTCTACGGTCAAATGCACCAAACTGGGGATGGGCGTGCTAACCAACTGAGTGGGAAGAATCTTGTCAATTGTTTGCTGAGGATTTGCATCTTGAAGGGACCGATAAAACCCGCAGCGCATTGCTTAGCATCACATTTTTCACATTTTCATTGGAATCCCACCAACGCTTCGCGATGTCGCTTGACTTACCCGTTTCATCCCGGAACAGAAAATTTAACAGCGCTAGTCCTTATGATGTGTTTCGCGGGTAAGCTTGAATACACCCTGGACTGGTCGCCAACCAATTATAGGGCACATATAGACAACAAACGTGGACAAAGAGTATTCGAGTAACTTGGGACAACATGTCAACTGTACATGGAAAGGCCCGAGCCCTGAACCTTAGAAGATCGGAGGCAAACCTGCTATCCACTACCGCATCGCGCTGCCCTTCTATGATTTCCAAATGGCAGAAATTGTTTCCAAATCCAACAGAGGTGAACCAGAGTTCCGAAACGGATCGTGCTCCACTTTACATGGAAATTTCGGGTTTGTATTCATTAAAAGGTGTCATTCTGAAAACCTCTGGCTCAATATTTACAGAGCAGCGAGTATCTGAGTGTTTATTTTGATCTCGTGATCAAGTCAGAAGGACCATCGGCGGCCGAGCCTTGAACTGTCTGCTTTCGAGAGACGTCTCCAAGTAAACACCTGTGAGCCTCGTGTGCGGAGCTGCCAATTGGAGCATTGCTATTGTTCCCTGTAGAAATCAAGAACATGGCAGAGGTTAAAGACCTAACCCGAGTGATGACTACTAGCTTGCAAAAGACCTCCCTTACAACTGAAACTTGGACAGAACGGGGGGTTGGGGGGGTGGAAATAATAATAATCGTTTTGCTCACATCTGTTTGTCGGGCCAGCGAGGCGTTGGATTGGCTTCTCTTCCAGTCTCATTTGGAGGTCAATGCGTACTCGCGTGTCTGCGCACGTGAGCTGGCGACACAAACACGCCTTATGCGCATCGCCTAAGTGCTTCTTTTTCACTCCGTCCCGGCCGGGTCATGGAACAGGAAGCGAGCTGGGAGAAAAGAAGGAAGCAGAAGCAGCTCTCTGTGGCTGCAGGTAGTCACCTTTAGTCTTGACCTTGAACCGGCCCTCAATCAGGCTGACAGCACATTGCTCGGACAAAGCGCAGATGTGCATAAACAGTGACGCACAACCCCGCAGAAGCAGCTTTAAGACCAAAAAAAAGAAAGAAAGACATAAAAATCCTTAATTTATTTCTTTATTATGTGACAGCAATGTTCACCTATGACATTTACAGAAGCGGGCCGGGAAAGCTACGATGCATCATGCATGCGGCCTTCCTTTCGTCAAAATAAATTTTATGAAGATGGTGAAGCTGTACAAAAGCCACTTTTAGGACCAAACAATGACAAAACCGTTGCTGTCAGAACATTTGGTGACCCCCCCTGGCTGCTTTTGGACAGAGCCCGTGACCTCACCAAGGCCAAAAGAACAACCTGCTGCCATATTTAGAAGGCTCGAGTTTACCCCCGATGGTCGGGTTGGGCTCGGGGCGCGGGCGAGAGTGGTAGGGGTTCTCCGGCAGGGGCCTCGAGGTTGAAACCTTGGTCACCTAGAAAATAAATCAGGCGCACCATCACGTGGTTGTAAGGGCACGCACTTCCTTGCATTCAAATGTCGACACCTTGGGCCTCTGAGGAACTCAAAACTGAAACGGTCCCCTTTCAGAAAACGTTTGCCTAACTCTATGTCACATCCAGACACGGCGAGAATGGCAACTCATTTTCCACCCCAAGTCTGTTAAAGTGTGAGAACAATAGCTTTGACTGACAGGGGAAAGTTGGGAGTGGGAAGGGGGCGGGGGCATGATTTGTGAAATCTACAGTTTGGTCGATGCAATCAAAGGCTCCTCTAATCAACTCCAACGGCAGCCATCAAATTGAAGTGCTCGCTAACAAGGCTCACCTTCGACAGATCTCCCAGCTCAGGTCGCTCCCAACCCAGCTTGTCAAGGACGCAGTTGTCGAAGGACTGCTGTTGCCGGCGGCAACGGCGCAGCTCGGCCAAATTGGAATAGTCCAGGCAGGTCCAGTACTCGGTGAACGACTCGGCGCAGTTCCCCTTGATTTGCCTGACAGACAACACGGGAAACATGCGACGACTCTCGCTGCACTCACTATTGACACAATATAAATAAATAACTGTTTACAAGCGCTCTGTTTTGAATCCATCTGTCCAACGAATCAGAACATGGGATGTTTTTTTTTTTTTGTTTTTTTTAATAGATGCTTTGTGCCCTCTTGCTCAGCGAAACCACATTCGAGCGATTTACAGTGGTCTCTCTCTCTCTCTGATTGGGCTGAACAATTTCTCAAATTCAAATTAGCATCGTAACGTAATAGAATGCAACTCTAAAAACACAACGGCTATAATTTGCAATTTCAGTTGATCGGTAGGCATGCAGGATATAATTCATTTATTTTGCAGTGTCGAGATGCGTTCAGTGTTTAGAAAGTGCCGTCTCCATGTTCGCATCGCTGCTTCAATAAACTTGAATGTGTGATACAGAAATCGATTTATTTGTTGTAATACGCCACACGAGTTTGGTAGAATTTCGTGAAGCTGCCGTAGTGCGTGCTTCAAAGAATCAAAAAAGGTGGCCATTTTTTTAGTTGAGAACTTTGACTTGTCTCGAAGCACGAATGCTTGTCCTGAAATTAGCAGCAGCTAACATACCTGAAGAAGTTGAGCGCACACTCGTTGACTTTCCTCCCTTCTTCGAGACACTTGCGAGGGTCCTTTTCCTCCCAGCGGCAGAGCATGAACTCCTTGTTCGGTTTGTCACACTGGGAGCCAAAGTGGTGAGCAGCCGCCTTCAGCACCGCAGATGACACACTGATCTGGTCGGGTGTCAAGAATAACAGTCAACTGACAAACAACGATTCAAGCGCATATTCAATTATTCAATCAACCTAACAGGTATGTTTTCAGAAGATATGAGGAGGCCCGAGAAAGTACGGCGAGACCGAAGATGAGGCTCAAACCAGAGTATTGCATTGTGAGGCATATGGACTAGCCACTTGGGAACCGTGCTATCTTGACACCTCAAGTAACCTTACTTCATTTATTTCCAACAGCCATTAAGTTATTGATACAGTCGCATTCAATGGCATGAGGACGAGATAAAAAAGGAGACTTTACAATCAGTTGTTTCAATTAAACAATATTTATTATTATGGTTATTGTGTCATAATTAAGAGCTACTGCTGCTGCAAACATTTGTCACCTTCTTTATCAACACGAGTGGGTAGAAACATTAAAAACTACGCTCTGTATGATACATTGCAGCTCAAGACCACTGCAAACCAGAAGCATACTTTAAAAAAAAAACATGTTAACACGTCTGGCAGTGTACATCAAAACATAACCATATCTAGGTTACGATTTTAGCACAGTTACCGAGGTCCAAGCTTCTAACACCCGTCTTACAAGGATAAGTTCAACGTGTCATATAAAGTTGCTGTGATTGACAGAATTTCGGTACATAGCAGACATAATCAAACAGATATTGCTGAGAGTTAATGATGCAGACTTTTAAAAATTAGCTTGTGCTTCTTGCTGTGCAATCTGGTAGATCAGACGCCGGTCGCATTGGCATAAAGACATTTAACAATAAAAAAAAATAAATAGTGCAGTGTAACTCTGTATCAACGACTGATGACACGTAAATTACGTTTCTTGCAGTAAATTCCAGCAAATTACAAACAGTGAGAGAACGGGGTTAGCGGAATAGCTAACATGCTAACTTCTTAGCTTGGGTATAATTTCCATTCGCACTGTTGTTCACCTCGTCCACGTTTAGCTCCTGCAAACTGGGGATTTCCACCGGCATGGCTGCATGCGTGTGTAACAAAGCACACGCGGGGAAATCGACGACGCCGACACAACTTTGAAGGTCTCCTCGTCTGGCTCAGGACGAGCGACGGGGTAGCAGAGAAGGTCAGTTTTCTCGTCAACTCGGAGGCGAGTGTTGATGACGCATCGTGACGCGCTCGACAACGAAGCGCGCGTGCGCACTGGAAATCTGGGTACAGTAATTAAATGTTTTATAGAAGTTTGATTTTGGTCTTGGGAGTACATAAACTTGGGAGTTTATGTACACTTTCTTAGTTCAAATGTTTCATCAGCATAAAATGTCACAAGACGATACGTTCACTTGACAATACTGAAGTAAATGTGTTGCCATGGTAACATGGACGCGCTTTTAAAACTGGTGGACGATGACCGTTTTACACGCGTCAATGCGACGATGTTTACGTGTGGCAGTTTTTTAGGGGGGAAGCATCGGTTTCTATATTGTGTCTTATAGTAACTGCAGAAGAAAATCAATTCTAAGGAGACTGCTTATTGAAAGAGAAGTTAAGTGGAAAAATGGAGCTCACCGGAAGCAGTTATGAAGGCCCTACTCTAAATAGCAGGTAAGTATAAGTTGTTTTAATTGCATCCGTTTCATTAGCACTGACCGATGTGTGAATACTGAAATTCAATGGACGGAAGGATAGACAGACATCCATAAATTCAGTGAAAAAAAACATAATTATGTGTGTGTGTTTGGGGTGGGAGGCAAAAATAAATAAAGAAAATAATAAAAACGTGAGGATCTCTGCAAATAACAGGTAAAAAAATCTGCTCATGCCATACCATTAATTGAAGTGGTCTAAAATGTCGTTGCATTGTATCATCGGATTGCTCAATTATACTGTGATGGAGCGGGTGAAAAATAGATTACAGAATTCATGCATTTCTCAATCATTCTGATTGATACATTGATACATATTGATGCAGGATGTAAGAATGTTAACATGGTGGTCTATTGTCCTGTTAGGATGGAAGGAGAAGGGGAGTACACCTTCCCGTCAGAGACCAAGTACATAGGGGAGATGAAAGATGGGATGTTCCATGGAGGAGGGGTGCTGCACTTTCCAAATGGAAGTAAATACGAGGCCACCTGGGAGAACGGCATTGCCACGCAGGTGTGTGTGTTTTTTTTGTGTGTTTTTATGCACACGTCTACTCTATGTTTTTCAAATCGGTTATACTTAATATTCCATCTGCTGCATGTTATAGTAATCACTCCGCATTCTTGTAACGGCTATTAGGTTTCTCCGTGTCATACTTGACAAAGGTGTATTCTGTCCTGCTCACGTGCATTTACAGCAGCAATCATTGCAATTATTATCATCAATTCCGATGAGGGTCACTTCAAATGATAGTCACGGTGAACCGTGACTAAACTCAGCCAAGACTTCCCCGCACCTGCAATGATGCAACTATGCTGAGCCCAAACGGCAACACGTTGAACCCGAGGATAAGCAACACAGCTTTAGTCTGACCAAGAGCAATTTACATGAAAAAGAATATCGCATATTAAAAAAAAAAAAAAAGCAAGAAATGTTATCAATCACACAGATCTTTATTTGAATTTTCCTGATCATGACTTACAATTGGTCAGGTCGTTTGTTGCTAGGCAGATTTCATATACCGTATCCAGAAAAAAAAGATAATTAGGATTTACTTACCTTGTGTAGCTTCTACAATTGATTCTGTACTTTATATTGAGGCCCAAATCTGATTGAATGCGCCACCTGTTGGATCGAGTGTTGCCCCTGCCCCTGATACGAAGTCGCCGTCACCACTCGTCCCGACATAAGTTCCTCATCGCACTTTGCTCATGTCTTGCATTAAAGATTTCCAACCTCACAACAAAAGAAAATCAAGTCCAATTAGATAACCGTTGTAATCTCCACGGACAGATTTATTTTGGCTTGGCTACAAATGAATGACATCAATTTCAACGGTCCCACTCGCTCTGTTTTCCATGTTGGAACAGATGTCATGAGTTTTTTTTCTAATTGCATTGTTTACTTAGAAAAGTAGCTGTTTCTAATAAACAACATTCCCCAACCATGTTCACTTTTTTTCTATTATGAGTCCTTGTCTCTTTCCACACACACACGCGCACACACACACACACACACACACACACACACACACACACACACACACACACACACACACACATATACCGTTGACTTTTGTTTACCAGAAGGCAAATCCCATTGTCTCCCATTAGAGCCGATCCATGCAGACTGGAATCTCCATCCCTGCCTCGAACCAAAAACAAGGATGGAAAAAAAAAAAAACAGATTACAGTCTCGTTTTCTTAAATAGTTTTGTTCTGAAGAGATGTTTGTGTTTTTTTTCCTTGTGTCAAAAGCAGATGTGCATGTCAAACAATTGGATGAAATGAATCGTCATCCATCAAATAAATGCTCATCTATGAAGTTTCTTTTTTTTTTTTGTCTTCCACCGTGATTACTTAAAAAAAAAAAAGGGATCATTCACCTTTGCTGACGGGCTGCTGTACCAAGAGAAGAACTGGGATTACTGCGACGGCAATGACAGACGCTTCTACACCGAGAGATGCAACGGCCTTCGCCCGGCAGGTTGATATTGTTGTCATTTGATCGAACGATTTAAGAGTGAATCACGTGCTTGTTTGTTTTATTTTTTTCCACAAAGGTGAATCCCAGCTTACAGACCTGCATCCTCCACGTGTCATTCCTGACGGCTGCTATGACTGTGGAGATGGTTTCTATGACCCCGAGACGAGAATAATCACTTCCTACGATGGTACTTTCCTCAGAAATGCTGGTGAGACAAAAAAAAAAGACACTTCAGTACTGTACTTTATATACTGCATAATAATACAATAACCAACCCAGCTTTACAGCTTCAAAACGTCGTGTAACTGTTCGGAATGAGCGTGGAACCACGAGAGCTTCTCTTTCTTTTCATGCCCGATTTCTGCACGTTGCACTCGTTGCGTTCACCGGTCTCACGATTTGATCGAGTATGGCGGCTCGAGTGGCAGGCTTGTTCTCCTGAGAGTCAACTCCAACCATTTGTCCCAGTTGCACTGTCCTCAACTCTTTATTCTGTATTCAGCAGCGTCCTTACTCAAGAGTGTGCAAGTGGATTCGACATACCCTCTTGTCTTGTGACACTTTTTTTTTTTTTTTAAAGAAAAATGCTCCTGTATCCTGTATAGATTTATTTTCCAACCCAAGGAAGTGTAGGGGCATTTGTCACAGCGCATGTAAACTTGGGATTTATTGCCACAGGGCTTCCCGTCCAGGATGCAATGATGATGGCACACGGGGGGAAGAAAAGCCCCTAATCCGGTGTGGGGAAACACCTCCGCACAGTACGGAAAGAGGAAGGAGTGGATGCACGTTGCTGTTCTAACTGGTGCAACTCACCGATATTCACCCGACAGAACTGAATGAATTTGACGATAGCGCTGGCTAATCTTCGCTCCTTTTGCAGACCCCCTCGGGCTCCTTAGACACCGTTGCTAGCGCGGGCAAATATTCCCGCCCGGCACGGTGCCAAAACGCAGAACAATAGGATCGTCGGCCAATATTCCCCAAGAGGTCAGGGATTATTTTTGGAGTCGACTCTCACAGGAGAGCGCGCGGGGACCGTATCACGGTTATGCTGAGGTGGGAGAAAGACATCATTTGTGAGTCGTAAATTTTAAACGGTCAAGTTTGAAGCGAGTCCCAAGTCGGGCAAAAATCCAGTCGAGCCATTCCTTGGCCTCTGAACCAATCAGATGTCAATTCATCCAATCCCCCAAGAGGTCAGGGATTATTTTTGGAGTCGACTCTCACAGGAGAGCGCGCGGGGACCGTATCACGGTTATGCTGAGGTGGGAGAAAGACATCATATGTGAGTCATAAATTTTAAATGGTCAAGTTCGAAGCGAGTCTTAAGTCGGGCAAAAATCCAGTCGAGCCATTCCTCGGCCTCTGAACCAATCAGATGCCAATATCGGCGATGGTTCCCAATTCAATGCGTAACTGACGCTTTTGACCAGCTACAATGCAAAAAAAAAAAAAAGTTGGGTGAACTCATAATTGCCAGGCAACTGGTAAAATTATAAATTGGGCAAAACACTTTTCCGCGCAAAATGAATGGGAAAGGCGAATGCGGATATGCTACATATCAACTGATGATTATTGTCATCATGAACCGCCATGATCCTTTTTCGTGATATTTTCATTTTTAATTTTTTTAACTAATAAACTACTGATAGTATAGGCCGAGGCTAATTTGTGAAAAGGCGTCGACAGACTCTCAAGTAGCAACACAGCAGGCAGCTGCAGGGCTACCATATTGTTTGGCGCACTTTCCTGTTTCTGGGATAAGCGTTTCCCTTTGAAAAGGCCTCCACTGTGAAAAACATTCCAGTGCCAACAAAAACACCTCTGGTGACTAAAACGACAGGCCCTCCCTTTGTCCTCATCAGGCTGAGGTGTTCCACGGGCAGATAACATCAACCTGGGCCTTGAGAAGTGGAATATTTCAAAACCTGGCCGCGCACACTGTACATCTGCGAACAGAAAACACCATTTGGGTTGACTCCAAAGCGCGGTTGCGCACGGATGATCATTTTTAAGATGTGTATCAAACCAGATGCTGTTTTTGTCGTGTGATGATATCATAGAAGTGAATTGGGCACAGATGACTTACACATGTACCGTTTCGCTCCGCCGGTTAGACATTCCGGTTCCACAATAAGATCTGAAGAGTTCAAACGCAAAAGTATCGTGGAGTCAAAATAAGTTTCTTGATTTGTGGTTTCAGGATTAACAATTTGTATCGAGGAGATTCGAAAGTTTGTTCTAAATCGAGCAATTAAGAGGCTACGGCTCATCCTAAATGTCGCGGGTGAGACGGAGCCTTTCCCAACTGACTTTTGGACGAAAGGTGGCACCCTCGATTGGTCGCCAGGCAGTAGCCTATACATGTAGACAAACAGCCATTGACACTTACCGTCGCTTCATTGGGCAATTCAGCATCTTCGGGGAACCTAACATGCACGTTCTTGGGACATGCGAGACAGCAAAAATGTCGCCAATACTTACCGGCCACCTGTGTCCTCAATTAAGGCCAACTTAAATCACCAGCGTCCAATCTGAAGAGGGCGCCATTACCGAAGACATGAATAGGGGTCAATCTAATCATCATCAATGCAGGTTACAGGGGTTCCCTCTTGACCCGATGACGAGATACACGTAGGCCACGATGATTACATTTTAGAGCCACAAAGACGGACGGAAAATGTTTGCAGCTGCTGATAAGCTCAATTGACCAAGCCCGGCCCAAATCCCCCCACAGTCTCCCTCCTGATCAGGTAGGAAGAAGATTGGGAGAGTTTTGTGCTTGAAGTGGCTGTTAGCGTTGACGCCCGTCGCTGCTAAATTACACACAATCAGTCGACAACCAGGACCTGAATACCCCCCCATTCCCCAGGTGAGGCCTGCGCGCCGCTCAAGTGCATGCAGCTGCGCGCGCTCCAGAGAAGGGCGACTTCCCCTGCAATTAGCTCCGCATTTCACTCGTAACAATTGACGAACTGCAGCATTATCTGCTCCTCTGGCAGTCCTTCTTTGGCAGAACACAAAAAAAAAAAAAAAAAAAAGGAGGGAAAAGAAGGGGCCGACCATTTTGCGAGGGGTTATTGTTTACGGGTGTCTGAAGTGGCTGTGAGAAGTTATTTTCTCCTAATTGTGAGGCTTATCTTGATTTGACAAAATTTACCAGCGACCTGAATGGCACTTCACTGCTCAAGCTGCCTTTTACACACAAAAGTGACCTGTGTTTTTAATTCTGCGGCTCAGTCGCTATTATGCCTCCTTTCATGCTGTGTGAGATTACGATTTCGTTGACTAGGCCGATAGATATTTAAATGGTGGTCAAGCGGAAGACATTTTCAAGAGGCCCCGCCGTGCTTAATTTTGATGTACAGTGAACCACCATCCATTGCGAGGGGGGCGGGGGGGGGCGGGATACATTCTTCACCCAGACGCCAGTCTTGAAACTCTGCGATAAAAGGCTACATGAAAAAAAAAAAGTTTTTGAAACTAGTTTTACACGCTATAAGTGCTTTAAACACAATTCGAATGATTCAAGCACATTTTTTAAACACTAAACAGACAATATAATGGAATCAGATATTGCATTAAGATGTGAAGACAATAGTGGACGGCTGTTAAGAGGCTGGGCCTGGTGGGGAGGGGCGTGACGTCAGTGAGTTTGTGTGCGAGTGTCTTGGTGTGAGCTGTGACCGACAGCAGCTCTGCTGTGAGTCTCCCCATTATGAAAAACCATAAAAAGATGCTGCTATTAGCCTCAGGTATCCTGAAAACTTACTCGCTTATAATGTTTATTTTTTGTTTTGTGTTTTTTTTTTTTTAACAGATGACTCGGAACACGAGTGGATCGTGCGAACCTGTCGAGTGGCAGAGGAGCCGATTCCTGAGTCCTTCCTAGAAGAAGTGTCCTGTGTTTCTCATATGGATTAAAAAAAATGAAAATGATGAACTTGTTGGGACATAATATGTCACTAATGAAGCTCTCTTACTGTTTTTGACGCCTAAGTCAGTAATTACAATAAATGATGCACTAAATGGAAAACTGAAGTTTATGTGTTGTCTGCATTTGCGACACCGCAAGCTAGCAAGCTAACTTTAGCTTGTTTGCTTGTTATTGTAATGCACAGCATTTTAGGGGTTGAAGGGTTATTGTGGCGTGTGGGACGCGCGGTGCTAAATAAATCAATGAATAAATCCAAACACAAATTTAATTTCAAGTTTGTGTCCAATTGTGTTTGCCAGCCACCCGTCGTGACGCAAGTCGTAGGGAATGACCACAAATGTCATCACATTCTGTTTTATTGCATTTTGTTGACACGAAACATGGATGATGCACAGTCTATCAAATAAACGTTTGTGTTTTCATGTCATTGTTGTTGCTTTTTTTAAAAATTTTATTTTATTTTACAAAAATCAAACAAAAAGTGCTTTACAGGATTTTTTTTTTCCATCTCAATAAATACAAGGACGTTGAGGTTCTCGTTGGATCCGCTTCTTTACACGATGGCTGTGGCACATAAGTACATGATGCGCAGACCTTCCCCAACACACACACACACACACACACACACCCACA